GAGGCCGACAAGGCCACGAATCTTGGCGCAGCTTCTCACCCCAGATCGTTTGAAAACGAGTTGCAGCGTTTTGCCTGTCAAAGGCGTGTTTCCAAGTCGGTGCGCGTTGTTGCTGCCAATGTGCTCCCAACGTGGCCCCGTCTGGACCTCTCTGATTGTCCCTGGATGGCCCCGCCTGTTGCCCCCAAGGATCCCCGGGGCCCTCCTCACGCGTGGGCCCACGTGACTTTGGGGCATCGTTACGGCTTGTTGGCGCAGGCAGACTTGTACGACAAGGTCGAAGGGGAGAGAGAATCTGCCGCCGCCCAGAGGTGTTTGCTCGAACGCCTCTAGGCTTGATAGCCCTTCTCTTCGGGCACTGCATCATGAAGCAGTGCCTTTTTTGTCTCGGATGGCTTCTATTTTGTTTACGGATTGTGCGAAGTGCCATTCTTATGCCACCCTGGGCTGCATTGAGGCTTAGCTAAGGAGTGTGGCAAGGTCACGGAAAAGACTTGGTGTTTTCACCAGGTGTGTAAAAGGTCTTCGCCCGTAGCGGAAGGACCTGATACCCGTGGCATTGAATTACCTCAACCTTGCATTTCACGTCAAAAACATTTTGGGGCCTATTTTGCCCGTCTTGGGGCCCTCTTGGGCCCGAGAAATTCATGCGACAACACTCGGGGGAACCCAGCTGGCACGCGCCAGGCCCCAGGAGATTTGGGCCGAGGGTTCCTGAACCCTTTTCAAGACTCCTCAAGAGCGAGGACTGAGGTTTACAGGAGTAGTGAGAGGACCGGTGGACTCTGCAGTGTTTGGTTGCATGTGATATTAAACGATTCATCTTCCATTTGCGACCCATGTGCCCAACCATGCAGATTCCTTCTGCACCCGTCGTTATCTCGCATGGTTTTCCCGGCGGTCTTGAGGAGCATTCCAGTCCCAGGAATAACGCCCCCCCCGCAGTGCTTGCGTTATTTAGCACCCGTATTCCGACATTGCCTCCCTTGCCCGAACCTCCTCTGGGAAGCCTGAGCAACATTGGCCGGAGTTATTTCGCACATAGAATTCGACAGGATATGAGGGCGCGTCCTTTCCAAGTTGTCTTATTATTCTTCGCCCAGTCAGAAGCCCTGCCCGCGAGAGCTCACGGGAAAAGGGACGAAGGGACACATCTAGGGAAACAAAGCGAGCAACCAGGAAGAACCGAGAGACCTCTGGGAGCAAGGGAGCAAGGGGGTGGCCTTGGAAGGCCTCTTCGGGCCATCCCTGGGGGCCGCGTGGGGGCGAGGGGAAGAGGAGGAGGAAGAGGAGGAGGAGTGCTTCCGCTTTATGTCTTCCTCATTATCCCTCAGCCATCAGCTGGTGCTGCTGCTGCTGGTGCTGCTGATGTTGTTGCTGCCTCTGCTGGTGCTGCGGCTGGTGCCCTGGAAGGCCTGTTGGGGCCATCTAGGAGAGCATTGATCAAAAGATGTGGGGTCCTCGATTTCGACCCCTTCCCAGGAGCCCTCAAAATCTCCTCTTGGAGCTCTCCTGGGGCTCTTTGGCATGGTATTGGAGCTCTCTTGAGGCTCTTTTAGGAGCTCTATTGGGGCTCTCTTGGGGCCCTCTTGGGAGCCCTGGAAGGTCTCGTGGGGCCATCTTGAAAGCCATCGATCAAAGGAGGAGATGGCATAACTTTCAGTCCCCCCCAAAGAGGCCAACATGTGGCCAAAACCTTAGTAAAACAAATGAGTTTGGCTTCCTCGCCGAGGCCGTTTTGGACGCCCTGACACCTCGCGAAACCCCCGAAACAAGTCCAGGGTAGGGGGTAGGGGGAGGGGTAAACCCCTCCCAATAGGGGAAGAGGGTTTTTTTGGGGGGAGAGGGAAGAGGAATCTTGTTAGACCACATGCGCCCAGAGGGCTGGTGGGATTTAGAGGCATCGCGTGGTGAACCTTCTGGGCAATAGAGAACGAGTAGTCTGAGCAACAGTGGTCCGCTAGCTTCTTAGGTGGACTCACATGCGAGGGTCCCTTGGTGAAGTATCCGATCCTATCGGGATCCTCCTCGAGCCCTACCATGATTCGAGTGGATCCGGGTTGGGATCTTATTGGGTTCAGATTGCAATTGTCTGGGGCTCTCATTGGAATTCGATTGGGGTCTGATTGCGGTCCTACTCGGATTTTGGTAGGATCCCGCACTGAGTGGCCCAGAGGCGGGATATCCGTCCCAGGAGTTGGAAACGATATAGCGCCGCCGAAAAGGATGGAAAAGGAGGGTGGACGGGGGGGTCGACAAGGGCTAGACTACCAGAGTCGAATCCCTTGTACTATTACATTAGACTCGTAACCCGAGCTGGGCCGTATCAGAGTTGTAGTTTCGGTGAGATGTCATTCGTGGTGTCGTTCCCTATGCCAGAAGTGGGGTATTGGTTGTTATTCCCACCCGCGTCTCACCCACCTCCCCCCTCCCCCCTCTCCTCAGACAGAACACAAGACACGCGCACACCTACACACGAACGTCGACCAGACACGCACAAAGACGCACACACACACACACACACACACAGAGACACCCACACACACATACACACACACACACCACACACGCACACACCACACACACGCATACACACACACATACGCACACGCACACACACACACATACGCACACGCATGCGCATGCAACCCGACACACCACGCAGTGCACACGCAGGGAGGGAAACTCGCAGGAGCGGCGTTGCAGGCGTGGCGCTCCCTCCACACTTGGAGGGGGTGCGCAGGGGGAGGGTCCCCCCATCCATCTCAGGCGTGGCAGGCGTGGCATTTCCTCCATACCAGGGGGAGTGCGCAGAAGGTTGTTTCCCTGCCCGCTTCTGGCTGCCAGGGCGTGGCAGGCGTGGCATTTCCTCGACACCAGAAGGGGGGGGTGCAGAGGGTGGTCTCCCCATCCGTCCAGGTCTCCCAGGGCGTGGCAGGCGTAACATGTCCTCGGCACCAGCCCAGGGTCCGCACTCTACTCCTCCTCGCGCCTAACCCCATCGTCCGCACTCCTCATCATTGTTCCCCGCTGCAGCCCTCTGTCACTCCCTCTCCTCTACGCTCTACGCCTCTTCAATGTGCTATCTTGACAAACTCGCATCCCCCTGAGTCCCATGAGTCGCGCCTCTCGCTTCAGCTTCCGGCGAGCGGGCGGGGGTTGACGGGATTGACGGGTGGCACCAGCTGAACGTTAGCACGGCCAGTTGTGTCTCGCCATTGTTTCACATCTTATCTGGAGGATAACCCGGAGTTGACAAGGTTGTCTCGGGCAGGACACGTCGGGGGATCTCGACCCCATAACCGGGCGCAGTAACAGTTGCATGTTGCATCAGCTTCGCAGACGAGGGCTTGCGCTTCATCCAGAACTGCAATCACTTCTGTTCAAGCCGTCTCAGACCGCCAGTCATCAGTTCACGCCGTCACGTCAGAGATACCCATAGTGCGACCTCAGCCACGGCGCCCAGATGCGCCATCACCGCACCAATGGGATCCACACATCCCACTCTAACCCACTATCGCCCTCTCTTGACTCCAAAGGGGATGCGCATGGGAGAGTCCCTCCACTCATCTCCACTCATTGTATCAACAAATCTTATAAACTTAGTATGTGGGGTCCTCGATAGCGTAGTTAATTCTGATTGTGTTCCACCTGCCGTGTGGATGTAGTCACGTTGTGCGAGCACAGTGCCGAGTAGTAGGTAGTTCTAGCAGGACTGCGTTCGAGGTGTAGCTACTGTAGGGGTCCACCCGAGTCGTAGCCCTAGCCGGATGTCATCCGAGTCGTAGTTCTATTAGGTCTTTATTGGGGTCGTTATAAAAAGGGAGGTGTATTGTTGGATTTGCCGGTCGAATATGAGCTCTTATAGAGTTGTTGCCATGTCCGTTGGCATGTGAATGGCAACGTAAACAAATGCCGTAGGATTCTGGTAGATATGAAGCCGCAGCAAGAGCACATTCGCGTTGACGCTCCAGTGGAATGTGCTTGGGGTTTCAGCCTATTGCGCGATGCCATTGAAGTCGTAATTTAAATGCAATACTGGCAAAGGTGTCGTTGTAGTTGTAGTTGTAATGCTATGTTGTCAAAATTGTAGATTTGGTTAGATTGTCCAAGGTGCTTACCGTCTGCAGGATAATACCACAAGCGTGGTTGTAGCAAATGGCTTCCGTAGTGCTAGTCAGCTTCAGCCCGATTATATTCGAGTTGTAGTTCACGATTGTTGCTACTAGGGTCGAGGTTTAGTCTGGGTAGCAGAGGGTCTGAGCTACATTCGGACTACATGTGAAGCGTAGCTCTAGAAAGATCGAGCTGGCACTCAAGTGGGATGCTCTCAGATTTGCAGCCGCTGTGCGATTCCATGATGTCGTTTTCATGGCAGGCTACATCAAGCTGGTAGCACCGCTACATTATTGCAATAGCAGCCAGATGGGTTAACCAGCAGGCGGTGTTGTAGGCCCTGCCAAAATCCATGACACATGTGGATATACAGTCGTGAGCTGAAAATTAAAAGGTAGTTTTAGTATTGTTCAGCGTTGCGTCGATGTATGGGATGAGGATGGCCACGGTGGCGATGACAATGACGATGAATCATGTGTACGTTCACGCTCAACCTACCATGACAAGAGCTCAAGAGTGTACCACCCTATCCCTTGCTCTCCATGTATCTTCCTCATCGTGCCCTTCCCCCTCGTCCTCGTTTTCATCCTTGTCCTCCTTCCCCTCCTCCTCATCGTTGCCCAGCCCCTCCCCCCTCCTCGGAAATCCGACATTGCGACAAACCATCAAACTCGCGCGAAATCTTGACCCGAGCCCTAGACCTCATCTTCCTGCTATATGTTTCAGGCCGGATCGATATGTGACTGTCCCCGGGCCCGATACCAGGCGAGAGCGCCAGGTGCGAAAAATTAGCGACGCCCGGATCTCGGGGTCCAGGTAGCCTGCTTCACTTCCGAGACATCCTGTTCCACTGCTTTTTCCCTCCCGTCTCGGCCGGTCTCGAGGTCGTGGTATCGGCCATGTTGTTTGCGGAGTACCTCCTCACCTTGTTATTGGTCAACGACCCGCTGAATTACATATTCTCCTTGTTCGGCACGCGCCGTGCAGAGAGCGAGGAAGAGGAAGAGGAGCACGAGGAGCAGGAGGAGGACGGTGGTGACGCGTATCAAGAAGCCACATGCTTCTCGTGAGGGTACATTGGGCTTCGTCACCCGCACAACGAGGTGGTTTCCCGCGGGCGTCGACAAGCTATTGTGTTCAGGATGCCTTGATTGTATTTCGCGCGCACATTTTCAGGTTGCGAGGGTTCCTTGCGTCCAGGTCCGCACTGTAGGGGTCTGAATGGGAGCAAGTATGAGTATGAGCGGGTCTAACTATGACTCTGACGAGTCTGAGTATGAGTACGACTGAGACTGAGCACGAGTACGAGTGAATTTGGGAGTTGGGTGGGTCTGAGTGCGAGTGAGTATGAGTGTGAGTAAGTCGGAGCGAGTGTGAGTGAGTCTCAGTATGAGTATGAGTCGAGAGTCTGAGTCTGCGTGGGTCTGAGTAAGCGTGAGGTTACGTGTGAAGTGTCCTCAAGGCTGGCGAATCTGAATGAGCATAAGCCCGAATGTGGTTTAGTCTAGGTGCAATTGAGCCTGAGTGCGAGCGAGTCTGGCTGTGAGCGAGGCCAAATACAAGTGCGTCCGTCTATGGGTGAGCGTGGATATGGTTGAATCTGCGTGCGATGGGTCAGACAACTTGGGCACGAATGGGCCCGTGATATACCTCCTGGTGGCCCTTCTTGGGCTGCTCGAGCCAGCGCCTTGCCTGACGCATCCTCGCAATCTGTTCTCAAACACAGACGAGTCTGGCCACCAAAACAAGCATTTTGCTTCAAACTTCCCCACCACATGGGCGCGAACGGGCCCATGATATGTTATCGCGGGCTCAGGGTCCTCGGGCCCCCCCCCCCCCCAGATGGGATGGGTCCCAGGGTCCTCGCCCCCCCCCCCCCGAGATGGGATGGGGGGGGAGGATGAGGAGGAGGAGGAGGAGGAGGAGGAGGAGGAACGACGACACAACGACGACGACGGCAACGACGACGACGACGACGACGACGACGACGACGACGACGACGACGACGACGACCGACAATAACGACGACGACAACGACGACGACGACGTCGACGGCACCACCAGCGGCGGCGGCGACGACGTCGAGCAACGGAGCTGTCAACATGACGCCAATCCCAGTTACACGCCGCATTAATTCCACACCCACAGAGGGGGAGGGAAGGGGGGAGGAGGACCATGGCGTCACCCCGCACACACCCACAGCAACACACCACACCCACACCACATCCACAGGGGGGGGGGGGCACCACGCCACGCCCACGCCCACAGGGGGGGGCACCGCGCGGGGGGGGGGGCCGATGGCATTAGCATTGGGGGGGGAAGCACACCGCCTGAGGCATCCCCACCATCTGGGCGCGAACGGGCCCGTGTCATACCCCGTGGCGGCTCCACCTTGGGGTGTTGAAGCCAGTGCCTCGCGTAAGACACCCTCACCGTCTGCTTTGAACCCAACCTCAACTTGCTCTATCGCGCCCAACCAGGAAAACCTCCTGATACATTTTCACCATCTGGGCGCGAACGTGCTAGTGTCCTACCCCCTGGCGGCTCCTCCTTGGGGTGCTGAAGCCAGCGCTTCACCTGAGACATATTTACGATTTTCTCCGGATGCAACGGTCAGGGATGGTTTGCCCTCCCAGCTGTCAATCGAATTCCCCGCCATTTTCCTCGTCCCACTAATGCATCTCGAATTCCCCACGAATGGCCCGCTAATGCCCCACAAATGGCCCCACGAGTGGCCCTGCTAGTTGCGCACTAATGAACTTGGCCAATTGATGCCCCACTCGTGAACTTGACCCACCAATGACCAACTAATGACCCACGAATGACGTGCTTTTCGCTTTTGGCACTTTGACACACGAATGGCCCACAAATGATCTTCGAATGGCTCGCTTCTCATCCTTCTTTCGAGTAGTCGCGATCGCAGATATCTCTAGTGTCAAATCTGGCTGTCACTAGCGTGCCATTAGTGAGGCAGGCTATTGCATGACAAATCATGTTGGCCACCAAAGCAGGCAAACCGCCTGAGACACCCCAGCCAATTGTGCGCGCACGGACCCGTGCGATGGCGGCTCCCGATTGGGAGTGCTGAAACCAGCGCCTTGCCTGAGACATCCTCGACTTATGTGTGCGCGGGAGTTCCTGAGTACGCGTGCGGCTGTTTGAGGAAGCGATGTGATTGAGTCTGCATCAAGGGAAAAGTAAGCCTGAGTATTAGTGGGTGAGCGACGAAAGGATGTGACTGATTTTGAGCATGAGTTAGCTTGAGTGTGAGTAAGTCTGAGTCTGAGCCGGTCTGGGTCTGAGTGTGAGTTAGTTTGGGTATGAGTGAGCTTGAGAGCGAGTGAGTCTGAGTGCGAGTGAGTCTGAGTGTGAGTGGGCCTGAATTTGAGCGAGTGTGATTATGAGACTGAGTATTGGTGAGTCAGAGTCTGGGTGGGTCTGAATATGGGTGAATCTGAGTGTGGGTAGGTCCAAGCAAGAATGGGTCTGAGTTCCCGTTCTGGGTACGACTGAGTCTGATTATGAATGAGTACGATTGAGTCTGAGTGAATCTGAGTGTGGCTGAGTGAGAAAGAGATGCAGGAGCAGGAAGGAGGGGAGGCTAGGGTGAGGGTTTTCGGTGCCGTCTAAAGAATTACTCGACGCGGAGATCCCTATATGTGTATCTCATGTTGTGAAAGCCTGACGGCCGGTGCCGCCGATCCTGAAAGACATCGACGACGACCAGGAGGGGGAGCAGGAGGGGGAGGAGGAGGAGGGGGAGAAGGAGGGGAGGAGGAGGAGGAGGAGGAGGAGGAGGAGGAGGAAGAGGCGGAGATAAAATGACTCCCCCCTGGGACCCCCCCCTAGAGAGGAGGACTGGAAGAGGACGTGGGAGAGAGAAGGGGAGGGGGAGGAGGACCCCCAGGGACGGATGCGTATCTGACTCCCCCCCCCCCCGGGGCCCTTCCCCACCTGGGTGGGAGGACCCGAGCAGGACCGGCGCGCCGGAGAAGGACCGGCGTGGGAGAGGAGGACCCCCAGAGGCGATGCGAGTCTGACCCCCCCCCCCCCCGGGACCACCCCCCCCGGTGGGGAAGGGACGAAGGCAAGGGGCTTCCCTTTGACGTAATGAGGACGTGGATGGAACCCCCTCAAGCTGCGAGCCCGTTGCCCGAACGAGGAAGGGTGTTTGTTTTGTTTCCTCTCTCTCTCTCTCTTTCTTTCCCTCCCCCGACGGGAGAGGAGGATGGAAAGGAAGGGGCGAAAGAAGGCCCCCCGTCGACGGGACTGGACAGACCCCACACACGCCGACATGGTCGGATATCCCCATATGTGTATCTCATATTCCTACCGCTTTTCGTTACGGAATTTTGTCTACGAACATCTGGGTTTGCGAGCGAGTCCGCGTAAACGACAGGCGCGGCAATGACGACGACGACAGCGATGGTTTCAGTGACGTCCTGCTCCTCCTCATCCTCCTTCTTTTTCTCCTCTTCCTCCTCTGTACACTTTTCATGTGAGGCGAGAGGACACAAGTGGCAGAGCAAGGGGAGGGGTCCCCTTGCCGTTAGCCCCGCGGCAACTCAGGCAACCGCGCATGGCGTTGCTGCGCCCGCCTTCTGGAGTGTTGCTCGCGACGCCTGCTGGCATTTGGGGCGCATCAAGGGCCACAGCGGCTACATCGCGATAGAACTGTATGAGTGAGCCTTAGTGCGAGTGAATCTGAGCGTGGGTGATCTGAGCGTGAGCGAGTCGAGTGCGAGTGGGCCCGAGAACCATTGAGCCTGCATGTTGAATGAGTTTGTTTGCAGCCCGTGCGAGTACGAATGAGTTTGCGTATGAGCGAGTTTAAGTGCGAGCGAGCTCGAGAACGAATGGGTCTGATCGCGAGTAAGTAGTTTTGGGTGTGGGCGAGTCTGATTTGTTGTGTGTGACGATTACATATATCAGTATGAGCGGGCCTGCGTGCGAGGTATTTTGCGCACGAATGACTCTGACGGCCAGCGAGTTTGAGCGCGAGTGGGTCTGAATGTGTTGGTCTGGGTGTGGGCGAGTCTGAGTTGGAACGACTCTGTGTATGAGCGGGCACGTTTGCGTGAGCCTGAAAATTACCGAATTCGAGTCTGGGCGAGTCTGAATGTGACAAGGATATCTTAGCGAGGAAGAAGCGTTGATGAGTAATTCTGATTGCGAACGAGTGATTCCCCGTGGGGAAAAATAGAGGGAAATGAGAGAATGAGCAAGCGGGGCGCACAAGATTCCAAACACAAATTCGAGAACAGGGGGGGCACAAACAAACAAGCCGCTTGTGTCCCAGCCCCTTGCGATTCCGCCTTGTGGTGCCCAAGACCCACGCTTGTTATATCGCGGTGAACACTGGGCCACACAGGGAAACGTCTGGGTGGGCAGCGACAAGCACACCGCCCAAGACATCCCACGAATTAGGGCGCCAGAGTGTGCCCACCCCTCGCGGTTCTTTCGTGGGGTATTCCAGTGCCACGCATATTATATCGTGTCGACCACACAACTATACATATGTCTCTGTATCTATATATATATAGTACCTGGGGACAACAAACATGCAAACCGCATGAGACATCCCCACAGTGTTTGCGCGAACCCTGAAGTGCTCCCACCCATGGAGGTTCCTCTTCTGTGGTGCCCAATTGCCATGCCTGTTGTATTGTTGTGGGCACTGCGCCACCACATGAAAAACAGTCTGGGGTGGACACAAACAGGCAAACCGCTTGACACATCCCCACAAGCGGCTCCGACAGGAGAAGATGCTGGGCACGCAAACGAGCAAACCGTTTGAAACATCCCATACTCCGCGCGCGAATCCTAGAATATCTTGCCCCCTGGCGCCGGCGCTTCCCTTATTCTAGGAGTGATGAAACAAGCGCGTCGCCAGACACATCCTCATAATCTGCCCCGAAAGCGGACGACGTTGGGTACCCAAACAGGAAAACCGCCCAAGACGTCTCCCCAATTTAGGCGCGAATCTTAGAGCGTCCTGACCCCATGCCCCCCCCCCCCCCCCAGGAGTGCTGAATCCACCGCCTCGCCTGAAACATCCGCAGGACCTGTTCCGAAACCAGAGGATGTGGGGCACGTAAACAAGCAAACTGCTTGAAACATCCCGACAATCTGAGCGCGAACCCTGGCGTGTACTGACCCCTGGCGCCCCCCCGTCGGGGTGCCCAATCGTGACTCGTGCAAAATCGCAGTGATCACCGGACCACACATGACTATGAGTGAGTTTGAGCTTGAGCACCAGAGGGGTAGGCGTGTAATGCGAGCGAGTCCGAGAGTGAGCGGGCCCTACGTGCGTGTGAGTCTGACCGCGAGTGAGTCTGAGAACTCTGAGTCTGAGCATGAGCGAGTTGGAGTGCGAGTGGGTCTGATTGTGAATGAGTCTGAGTGAGAGTCAGCCAGAATGTGAGCGAATCTGAGTGCGACCGAGTCTGACTGTGAGTGAGTCTGAGTATGAATAAGTCTGAGTGAGTCTGCGCGTGGGTGGGTCACCCTGGCTGAGGAAGAGGAGGAGGAGGAGAAGGAGGAGGAGGTGAAGAGGAGGAGGAGGACGAGGATTTCGGAACCGTCTAAGTAGTAACGATAAACCCCTTCTTAGGGTATAGGGGCAGGATTCCCATCTTAGGCTACGTGGAATTATCTGTTTCTTCTTAAATGCCACTCCATCAAATACCCCCCCCCATCCTTCCGAGCAGTTTGAGCGATAACCTTTCTTAAGGTTACACGTCCAGCAAAGATTCCTTCCCATTATCCTCTTTGAGCAGCTGGAGCAACAACCCTACATCCCCAGCAGCTGCATTCGTCCTCTTGTAAACTCAATAGGGCGATGACCACTTCCAGGTGACTTATCCAACCTTGTCCCCAAGCTCCTCCTTCCGACAGCTCTGGCGCTAACCGTTGTCCCCGGTTACGTGTCCACCTACTGTGATCTTTTTGTTGACCACCTATAGCGATAACGCGTTGTCCACGTTATCGTGCGAGCTAATACGCAATCCTTCTCCTCATTCTGCAGAAGTAGAGCGATCACCCTCTCAGTGTCCTCACCCCTGGCACACACACACATACAAACACACCTCCTCAGGAATGCTGAAACCAGCGCGTCGCTCGAGACAGCTTCAAAACCTGCTCCGAAAGCAGAGGGTGTTGAGCACTCAAACGAGCAAATCGCCTGAGACATTTCCGCGATCTGGGTGCGAACGTGCGAGCCTCCTACCCCTTGGCGGCTCCCCCTTCGGTGTGCTAAAACCGGCGCCTCGCTTGAGACATGCTCAGAACATGTTCCGAAGACAGGATGTTGAGCACGCGAATGAGCAAACCGGTTGAGATATCCCTACCATTTGGGCGCGAATCCTGAAATGTCTTGACCCCTGGTGCCCCCCCCCCCCTCGGAGTGCTACAGCCAGCGCCTCGCCTGAGACACGCCCAGAAGCAGCTCCGAAAACAGAGGATGTTGAGCACGCGAACCAGCTAACCGCTTGAGACATCCCCACCACCTGGGCGCGAATCCTGGAACTGTCTGACCCCTGGCGCCCCTCCCCTTCGGAGTGCTAAAACCATCGCCTCGCGTGAGACATGCTCAGAATCCGCTCAGAAATCAGCACCTGTTGGGCACGCATGGAGGCAAACTATTTGAGACATCCCGACACTTTGAGCGCGAAGCATGGATTGTTCTGACCACTGGCGCCCTCCTAAGAGTGCTGAAACCAGCGCATCGCGTGAGACATCCTCAGAATAGCTACGCGGATGATTTTGAGTATGAGTGCGTTTGGGTGTGCACGTGATCGAAGTAAGTCTGAGTGAGGAGAGGTGAGTCTGAGGATGAGTGGGCCTGATCAGGAATGCGTATCGTTGTGAGTGAGCCTGACCATGAGTGACTCTGAGAGGAGTGAGTCTGACTACAAGTGTCTGTGACTGAGGACTTTGCGCGGTCTGAGTACCAGCGATTACGAGTACGAGCGCTTCCGAGTATGAGTGAGGCTGAGGAGGGAGAGGAGAAGGAGGGAGGAGGACGCGGTCTGAGTAATGACAGGACACCCATCTCAGGACTTGGGGAGAGAACGACGGCCAAAATCTAAGGATGAGGGGGGACACGAACCGTGCACGAGCAAGTGGACCCCAGGGAGGGGCCGGGACCTCCCTAGAGCCGCGCATGGAAACACTCACACACACACATCTCGGCGGCGAGCGAGGGGGGGAAGTGAGAAGGAGAAGACCCTCTCAGAAGGCGGTGGGTCTTCTCAGAAGCAGTCGCGCCTTCTGAGATGATTTCTTTGTATTCGGGGAAGGCTCAGGCAACTTCTCAGAAGTCCGTGGAACTTCCGAGCTTTCTGAGAAGGCCCGCCCCTTCTCGCTTCCCCCCCCTCGCTCGCCGCTGAACCTCAGCGGATGTCAGGGTCTCCGTCTGAACATCAGCGGATGTCAGGGCCTCCGTGCAGGGGCAGGGGCCTCTGACGCTGGATCGTGCCCGCAGGTCGCGCCGCGGGGCGGAAGCCGGGACACCCCCCATGCTCCCGCCCATGCTGGAGGAGGAGGAGGAGGAAGAGGAGGAGGAGGAGGAGGAGGAGGAGGAGGAGGAGGAGGAGGAGGAGAGGAGGAGGAGGAGGAGGAGGAGGAGGAGGAGGAGAGAGGAGGAGGAGGAGGAGGAGCAGGAGGAGGAGGGGAGCGGGAGTTGCAGGCACCGGCTAGCCGGCACGGCCCCGCGCTAAGGGGCGCTCCCGGGCGGCACCGCACGGTGCACGGCGGGGAGGGCCGCGATGGGCCACGTCGATGTTGGTGTGGGGGCTGGCCTCTTTGAGCGAGCGCTGGGATCTCTCTCGCTCTCTCTCTCTCTCTCGCTCTCTCTCTCTCTCTCTCTCTCTCTCTATATATATATATATTCAGGAGGGAAAGAAACACACAGACACAATGAATCGTCGATTCCCCAGAAAATATAGGAAAATATGGGACGTGGGGGGGGAAGACAAAACCCCGGAAAGTATGGGAAAATATGGAGTGGTTGTTGATTTGTGTGTGTGTAATTATTTGTGTGTCCTGGGGCCCCTTCATATTTTATATATATATATATATAGATATATGTATACTGCAGTGGCGCTTCGCGCCATGCACTTTGGTCCTTGAAGTGTGGCACGGAGGCGGAATGACAGGAAGGTCCAGCCGCGCAGTTTAGCGATGACTTCTTGTGGCCTTTTCCGGCATCGTCGCTGTAGTAATGTTATTCGTTATCTTTCCTCCATGCTTCTTTGTCCCCATGTTCGCCATACCCTGCGCATTCTCCGCATCCTCCTCAGCACTTTTTTGCGGAGGCTCCTCCTTGGAGAGTTCCTGGGGGCCTCACAAAAGTTGTTAAGGCCTTCTGGAGGCCTCCTGGGCGTATTCTGGGGGCCTCTGGGGGCTTCCTCGGGCCACCCTGCCTCCAACCGCGGTCTCCGTGAACGAGCGGGTCACGATTTGGAATGTTTCGGAGGGCGTCTTGGGGCCATCTTGTGCCGCAATGGGGTTCTCTGAGGGCCATCTTGGACCCGTGTTGTGCCGTTTTGGGGCTCTCTTGGACTGCCTGAAATCCCTTTCGGATGGTTGTGGGGCGATTTTGGAGCCTCCCAGGCGGCTTCTGACGTCCAGAAGACGCCGTCTTGGAGCGTCGGGAAGCCGCAAAGAGGAGAACCCCAAAATTCACCAACAGCCAACAGAAAATCAATGATTGTTGCCTCCTGGGGCCTTCTTGGGAGTGCTCTTGGTGGCCTTTTTGGGGCCGTCCTGGAGGCCTCTTGGGCCATCTGGAGGTCACGTCGGTCACTCTTGGAGCGCTCTTGTGCTGTCTTGGGTCTGTGACGTCTCCGATGACCCCCCTGATCGCCCTAGGTGTGCTGGGAAGGCTTGGCAAAACGCCCTGCGAGGCCCGGGGGGGCCCTTCGAGGCCCGTCCAGAGGGTCCCAAAGTCCCAGATCCCGGGAGTCCGGTTTTTTTTTGGGGGGGGTCTTTCCGCCCGGGCTAAAAGTAGAGGGAGAGGAATATATATATATATATATATACATTCAGATGTATAGACACATTGCTAATTTCTAACTCTTCGAAAGTTATTTGAATTTTTTGGGGGCCATGATCCTGTCATTTCCAATTGTTCTATCCTAGGCCGCTTCCTGACCACTAGGGGGCCAGGAACACGTAGAAACGAGCACAATTATAAATGAGCGCGATTAGAAATTAACGGCGTGTGCACATGTACACATGTATATATATATATATATATATATGTATAACCCTTACAAGCAATCTTTTTCAAGAGAGAGCAACAACAATGTACTGCAGACTCGCGGCGTGTCCGACTCGGCGGCATCCCCAGCCGGCGCGTTCAGTGCTGAACGCCACCGTTAGCCCAGAATCGGCCTACATGGAACGATCTGGCGTTCGGAAAGCCGCCGATCGTTCAAGGTTGAAACATGTGTCAGGGATCAGCGCTGGGGCCATCACGACACGAACCTGCCGCATGCTCACGCATTAACATTCGAGCTTCTTAACACAACGACGACATTAAGATAGCGGCCCACCAACCGCCCCTGCGAGATTCGCAGGATGAGGGTCTGATCTCTCGCAGGTTATGTTGCCGCTTCGCCCTCGTCGGAATCGTGGGCGGCATATGACATGAAGGAAAGACGTACACGTACATGGTCCCATGTTGGTCTCCGAAATTGCATACCCCTTGCGCGACCGTTCGTAACACAGTGCTGGTCTCGCGCACTGAGGGCCGAATTCATGTACGTGGTTTGGGCGCGTCAGTCCTTTGCAGGCCTCCTAGCATGCAAGCATTTTTGGGGGGCCGCCGGAGGCCTTGTCAACGTGGTCACCACCTTGCCCGTGTTCGTGAACAGCTGGTTCTGCGGGGCAGGGGGGCGCCGCGATGGAGGCCGTGGGGAGGGAGTCAGGACCTCCTCGCGTGAAGGAGTCACGACGTACAGTGTTTGGCCGTTTCCGGCCTCGGAGGGCCCTGCCAGGGTCCCGGGAATGTCAGCATAAAAATGTTCAGGATGAACCGCTGGTCCACGGGGAGGGGTCCAGACCTCTGGGGGTCCACGTCACGAGAAATCACGACGCCGGGCGTCTGGGAGCAGACGGCATTTGCTGCAAGTCTCCTCTTCATCTTCCGCGGACCATGCCGTCCCGTTCACCCCGTCCTCTTCTGCGCCGCCGCTTCCACGTCCTTCCCCAGCTCTGCTGCCGCCTCTCCAGAGGTTCCCCAAAATGCCACCCGCGATGTACTATCCGCTCTTACGCAGCCCACGCCCAGCGCCGTGCTCACCCCAGCGCGTGCCGCGCTGAGCCGCTAGTCCGTTGGAAACCCGGCGGCGCCCAGAGGGCTGAAATCAAGGAAGAACGCCCAGACCGAGAAATCCCCCCGTCGGAGGTCTGGGGAGGCGAGGGTCGCGAGAGACCTGGCGCTCGCAGAACGCCCTGGCATCGCTCGGACGTGTGCATTTTTTTTCTCGGGGAGGACCCTGGAGGAGCATCCTGGACCATCGAGCAAAAAAAAACACGCACGAAACCGAACAGTGCACAGGGAATGGACGCCCGAGCGAAGGCCCTTTTCTAGTGGGTCTTCGCCGACGTCGTCGCCGACGTCGGCGACGGCGGCGAGGTGTTTGAGCATTTCTGTGGGTCTTCGCCGACGTCGTCGCCGTCGTCGGCGACGGCGTCGACGTGTGCATTTTTCCTTCGGCGAGGACCCTTGAGGAACATCCATCATTTGGCGAAAAAACCACGCACGAAACCGAAAAAAACACAGGGAGTGGACGCCCGAGCGATGGCAGGACGCACCCCGACGGCGGAAAAAAAAGCCAACCGCGCCCCGACGGCGGAAAAAACAGCCCTGGAGGCCGCGCGCGGCGCGCGGGAGTGGCAATCTCCTCGGGAGGGAAAAAACACACAGACACAATTCATCGTCGACCCCCCCGAAAATATGGGAAAATATGGGCAGTGGGGGGGAAGACAAAAACCCAGAAAATATTTGAAAGTATAAAGAAACATGTTATTTGTGTGTATGTATTTGCGTGTCCTGGGGCCCCTTCACCTCCACACGTCCTCCTCCATGAAGACCTGCGACGCCGCTCGCGCGGCGACGTCCCCGCGCAAAACTCCCGCGAGAGGCGGGCGCGCCACTCCGACGCAGAGCCGACGAGCCTCCGGCGGAGCGTGGGCTTCCGGTTGCCGCGCAGGGTCTCCGGCGCCTCCTGCCTCGTGGCATATCCCCGCCCCCGTCCCTGTTGGCGTCGCCCTCGGGCGTGTGCACATCTCTCAGGAGGGGAACAAGCACACAGACACAATTCATCGTCGATTCCCCAGAGAACAGGGGAAAGCATGGGCAGGTGGGGGGGAGGACATCAAACCCAGGAAATATGGGAACATGTGGGGGATCCTATTATCTGTGTGTATTTATTTGTGTGTCCCAGGGCCCCTTCAATGTTGGCCCACCTCGCAATACCTTGGACCACCTTGCAGCAAAGCACGACGCCGGCGAAGGACCCGACCATGTGCAGTTGTGAATGCCGCCGCTGCGAGAGCTGCCTTCGGTGGAGCTCGCTGTGGGCACGAAGCGCGCCGCAACGGAGCGGTGCCGCCAATGCGGACGCTGCCGCTGGGGCCTTCGGTGGAGCTCCCGACGGGGCCACCAAACGCATGCGGGGCGTGCCAAAGTGGAGGGGGGTGGTTGCTGGGAATGGGCAAGGATTCGGTGCTCACTTTAGCCGGGGTCGATGAGATTTATTCTGGTGATGTCTAGCTTGCTGAAGGTTCGCAGCCGCGAGCCAGCCTCCTGGCCGGTCACGAGAACTGGAATGGAGGCCAGAGGCATGCAATTCATAACGCTGGTGCCTTCGGTGGAGCCACCTGGGTTGCCACGAAACGTGCGAGGGGTGTGCCAAAATGGGGTGGGCAGCGTGCGAACCATGCCACGGGGGCCTTCGGTGGAGCTCCCTGTGGGGCCACGCAGCGTGTGAAGGGTGTGCAGGAGTTGAGGGGGGTGGCATGCAATTCATGCCGCTGGGGCAATCGGTGGAGCTACCTTCAAGTCGGGCGCGTCCCTCCACAGGAGGAATAATCTAAAATTGGCAAGAAGTAGTCGGGGGGCGATTTGTTGAGCATTTGTTTGGCCTTCTTTTGACTGTTCGCACAAAATCCGCCAGTCGAGCAACACGCCCGACCTAAAGCTACCTGGGTTGCCACGAAATTTTGCGAGGGGTGTGCCAAAATAGAGTGGGCGGCGTGCGAACCATGCCACGGGGGCCTTCGGTGGAGCTCCCGATGGGGCCACGAAGCATGTGAGGGGTGTGCCAAAGTGGAGGGGGAGCGGCACGCGAATCATGCCACTGGGGCCTTCGGTGGAGCTCCCTATGGAGCCACGAGACATGTGAGGGGTGCGCCAAAGTGAAGGTGGAGACGGACGGAGGTAGGAGGGAGAGGAGGAGAATAGGAGGAGAGGAGAGGAGGAGATGCGGGGATTGCGTTTTCAAAACGAGGACCCAACTCAACACAGCTGGTTGGGAAAATCATGCACGAAACCGACAAGTACACGGAGAATCGACGTCTGAACGATGGCAGCATGGGGCAACGATTGGGGGGGCAACGATAAGGGCGGGACTGGCACAGGGGACAACGATAGGGGCGGGATTGGCACAGAGGGGAAACATCAACCTGCAATCGGCGATACGTCGCCGATAAAGAACGGCGACGGGCCCCCGACAGCGAAGCCGCACGTTCCTGGGCGGGCTAGCGGGCCCCATCGGCGATCAATGGGCGATTGCTGCCCTCATGTTGCCCCTGAGCTGAGAGGCAGAGGAGGAGGAGGAGGAGGAGGAGGAGGAGGACGAGGACGAGGAGGAGGAGGAGGAGGAGGCCGATGCGTCCCCCTCGCGTGGCCCCTGAGCTCCGCCCCGGCGGCGGCCGCCGCCCCGGCTGGGCCCCCCCTGGCACGGCTGCGATGGTCCGCCTCGGCGCCGCCACGGCCGAGCCCGCGGCCGCGGCGCAGCCCGCGGCCGCGGCCGCGGCGGCGCCGTGCCCGAGGCCCGGGGCGCTGCCGGTGCACGCCGCGCTGTCGGGGTCCGCGGGCTCCGCCGCCGAGTGGGAGCGCGGCGGTCGGGAGTCGTCGTCGTCGTCGTCGTCGTCGTCGCCGTCGCCGTCGCCGTTGTCGTTGTCGTTGTCGTCGTCGTCGCCGTCGTCGTTGTCGTCGCCGACGACGACGACCACGACGTCCCTCCGCCTGCACCTTTTGAGCCTTCGGACGGAAGATGCCGCGCCGCGGCCGCCGCCAGCGCGGCCGCAACGGCGGCCGCCGTCGAGGCCACCGCGGCGGTCTCGACGGTCGCTGCGGCCGCGCCACGGCGGCACCTGGTGCGCGGAAGGCCCGGAAGGTGGAGGTCGAGGGGTTGTCGATGCCGTCGTCGTCGTCTTCGTCGACGACGGCGACTTTCCCAGACCGCCAGCGGCATGCCGTTGGAACACCAGGCGTTCTTCCTCGATTCCGGCTCCTGGGACTTCTTTTATCTGGCCTTTGGGGCCAAAACGGGACCCTGGGGCGCAGAAGTGGCCCCGGGGAAGCGGCCAGGACTTCTGCAGGGCCGCGGGGGGAAGAAAAGACAGATCGGCGGATGCCACGGATCGACGCTGTCGTTCCCGTCGTCGTCGGCGACGGCGTCGACGCGGCGGGTGATCTTGTTGGCGTTTCCTGGAAGCTCCCCCTCGGCGCCCCAGATGCGCGCGACTCGGAACGGCGGCCAGCGGCTGGGCCCCGAGACTCAAGTCAGGCCTGTCCTTCTACAGGGGGGGAACTCCAAAATGGTCCAAAAATTGTCTGGAGGCATGTTTGGGGGCATGTTTGGCGTAATTTGTAAGTGTCGCCCAGACTCCCCTTGCAGGGGAAATTCCAAAATGGTCGAAAGATAGTCTGGGGACGATCTTTTGATGATGTGTTGACCATGTGGGGGCACCTTTGGCGTATTTGCTTGGGGCATCTTTGGCGTAATAGTCTGGGGACGATCTTCTGATGATCGTTGGGCCATTTGGAAGCATTTTTGGCGTATCTTTGAAGTTTCGCCCACCGACCTAGCCCCAGACACTGGTGGCTCGAGGCGATCGGGGCGTCCGGCCTCCCTGGCCGTGTTCGGCCTCGGGGGCCCCAGGCCCAGTGCCAGGAAGGGATTCCCTCTCCTCCTCCTCCTCCTCCTCCTCCTCCTCCATCCTCCTCCTCCTCCTCCACCTCCTCCTCTCTCCTCCTCCTCCTCCTCACCTCCTCCCCCCTCCTCCTCCTCCTCCTCCCTCCTCCTCCTCCTCCTCCCTCCTCCTCCTCCTCCTCCTCCTCCTCCTCCTCCTCCTCCTCCTCCTCCTCCTCCTCCTCTCTCCTCCTCCTCCTCCTCCTCCTCCTCCTCCTCCTCCTCCTTCCCCTCCTCCTCCTCCTCCGCCTCCTCCTTCTCCTCCTCCTCCTCCTCCTCTCCTCTCCTCCTCCTCCTCCTCCTCCTCCTCCTCACCAGTATCGACGCGGGGCGTGCTAGAGTTAAGTCGGGCGTGTCCCTTTACAGGTGGAGTATTCAAAAATAGTATAACCAAATAATAGTATGGGGACGATATGCTGATTTTTGTTTGGATATGTTGGTGTATGCTTGGGGTATGTTTTATTTGTCTGCCAGAATCCGCCTGTAGGGGGACACGCCCGACCTAATGCTGAAGGGATTGGGGGGCTATCAGTGGATACCGGTGTGGGCTATATCTGGCCTAACCTGGGTTTTGAGCGTGTTGCACTTGCCCCCCGCGTGGCTGAGGGGGGTTCACGATCCGGTCTGAGAAGGCTCCGCCCAAGTGTCGGAGTGATCCAACCCCCTCTGAGCTCGAAGAAAAAACAACGCCATAAACATGAACTTTTGGCGCTCCAAGCGGATTTCTTGGACCCGCGCTGGGCCCCTCTGGCGGCGCCTCTGGCAACGCCCCTGGCGCGCTCCGCGCGCCAGGGAGGGGGGTCCAGGCCAGATCCAAGAAATCCGCACGGAGCGCCAAAAGCTCATGTTTATGGCGTTTCTTCTTCTTCTTCTTCTTCTTCTTCTTCTTCTTCTTCTTCTTCCGACAACCCCCCCTTCCCCCCCCCCGATCCCAGCAGGCGTGGGTGCGGGAGGTCAGGGAGCCCCAGCGTGCCTCGAGCGCAGCTCGGGCCGCCAGGTCCCTGGCCCTCGCGGACCGATCCGGCGGGGGGAAGCAGCACTACTCTGGAGGCCCGCAGTGGGTTTGGACAAGACTGGGCACGCACGATGCCCAGCAGAACAAGATCGTCCAGAGCCCGCAGCGGTGGCTGCTGGGCAGGCGGCCTTCTGTGTCCGCTGGTACACGTCTCCACCCTGGCCCCGCCCCCCGCGCCCATGCCAGCAGGCGTGGGTGCGGCAGGTCAGGGAGCCCCTGCCTCGGGCAGCCCGGGCAGCCGGGCCCCTGGCCCTCGCGGATCGATCCGGCGGGGGACGCAGCATATACATTGCTGTATACATTCGGGTGCTGAACAAAGGGGTAGAATGCCCAACAGCAGTTCCTGCTCATCTTGAACGGGGCTCGCTGTCCGCGCCGCCGCGGCCCGTGTCCACGCGAGACAGACGGCCGCCTGCCCAGCAGCGACCGCTGTCGGGTTTGGACAACATTTGGTGTTGGGCGTGTTGCTTATGTTTTCCGTACCCATTCTGGGCGTCCAATTTTTTTTATCCCAGGATCGTGTCAGGTTTGGGGGCGACGTCGGTGTGGTGTGGGGTCTATTTTCTCGTTTTCCGATGGGGAAGCAATGAAACATGTATACACCAGGACCCCGTATACACCAGGATCCGTTTTCCCCTGTGCGAATTTCAGTGCGGGGCCGGAAAAAGCGTCGGTGTATAGATTTCGTCTCTGACGGTGCATCCACGAGCGCACGACAGTGGCGACAGTTGCGCAGTTCGCAGCAGCCCAGGGAGCTACGAGGTCCCGCCTGGGTCCGTCTACTCCGCTACTCCGCTGTGCCTCCCAGGAGCCCACGAAAGTGGCGAGTTGTCCAGGCCGCACCCCCCCGGAGAGCGGCGAGGTCCCGTCTGGGTCCGTTTTCTCCGCTACTCCGCCGTGCCTCCTGGGAGCCCACGAACGACGACAGTGGCGGCAGTTGCGTAAGTCGCAGCCCCCCATGGAGCTGCGAGGTCCCGCCTGCGTCCGTTTACTCCGCTACTCCGCCGTGCCTCCCAGAAGCCCAAGAAAGTGGCGACAGCTGCGAAGTTCGCAGCCCCCAAAGGATTTGCGAAATCCCGCCAGGGTCCGTTTACTCCGCCATTCCGCTACTCCGCTGCCGCCGTTTACTCCACTACTCCAACTCAAGTGACGAGGGTTGCGCACTTCGCAGCAATCCAGGGAGCAGCGCAGGAGGAGGCAGGAGGAGAGGTGGGTGGGAAAAGGATTCGCGACCGCAGCACTCTTGTCCAAACGAGGACCCAACGCAGGAGGGTTGGGAGTTACTCTTGCAAGTTGACAACCAGTCATTGATATTGCATGTGAAGATGTCGCCCCGACGTTTGCTCCGACGCGCGGCCTTCCGTGTTGGGGAGAGTGCCTCGGCCATCAGGGCAAACGCCGCCTCGGGCGAGATGGGCACGCCGTGGGGTTCGCCGCGGCGCCGGCTGCGTCTCCCTGGAGCGTGGTGCGAAGGGCTTGCCGTGGTGCCCGCGTCGTCCACCTGGGCACATCGAGAATGAACGGTGCGGCGACACATGTATATGCATTCCTTTTCGAGTCATATATACGTGTATATATATACACGGGATAAGATTACACACAGTAGTTTAGTCTAGATCTATGTATATATATATATATATATATATATATACGTGTGTGTACGTGTATATATATATATACACACGGGATGTGATTACACACAGCAGTTCAGTCTAGATAAATGTGTCTACGCACGTGTTTTTTTAATGACAAAAACATAGAGGAGCGGCGGTGCGCGGACTTCTTCGCGGCCCGCATCGGGCCGGCGCCCGTGCGGCGGGGGCCCACGGCGCTGGCCGGGGGGCAGTTCGGCCTCTTCGCCACGGGCGCGCTCGGGAAGGCCAGAGCGGGCTGGGGTTCGTCGGCGTCGCAGCAGGTGTTTCCTGCAGCCTGGCATCGCTCGGACGTGTGCATGTTCTCCTCGGCGGGAACCATCGAGGACCATCCTGGACCATGGAGCAAACAAGCACGCACGAAACCGAAAAAATGCACGGGAAATGGACGTCCGGCGAAGACCCTTTTCTAGTAGGTCTTCGCCGACGTCGTCGCCGACGTCGGCGACGGCGGCGAGGTGTTTGAGCGTTTCTGTGGGTCTTCGCCGAGGTCGTCGCCGTCGTCGGCGACGGCGTCGAGCCCCCTGATCTCCGACGACCTGGTTTTGCAAGCTGGGCGCTCTTCCTCGAGGTCGGCTTCCTGGGGGCCTTTCTCGGGCCCAGGGGCCGTGAACCCTCGATCTGGCGCG